CGGCGTTAGCGGTGAGGAAAGGAGAACCGTTGGGAACGGGCGTGCTCGCTGCTCGCGCATTGGTGCACCGGTGTGTACGATGTGTGCAGAGTCGCCATGTTGAATATCCCCACTTCCGCTCCACGTGTCGTACACCTACACACGTGTCGGGAACTGCGATACCGGTCGCAATATCGCCTCTCCGTACGGTAGGGGCGAGAAATCGGCCTCCGCCATGGGGGATAGTCTTTTCATGGTAGTGGTGGTGGTGGGGTACTGCAGTAACCCCTTCTGCACGGAGAAATATTATACTTTTACGTGGGGTTCAGCGTGATTTTCGTGAATTTTTCTCGGATAATTTCAGAGGATATTTGGAGGTGTCTGTGTTTTTGGGATTGTCGAGGTTCTTTGGGGAAAGTTTGAGGTGGAATTTGACGGGTGGTAGGAAGAGGTTGCGCTGGTTTTTTCTGAAATCGAGGGTTTTGGGGGGGTTGGAGGTGTTTGGAGGGAATTTTGGGGTGCTTGGGAGATTTAGGAATGTGAATTTGGGAGGATTTGAGATACTGGGGATTTGCTGTAAGTGGAGCGTTAGGCAGTTGGAGGAGTATTTAAAATTAATTTTGGGAAATTTACAGTTATTAATTTTAGAATATTTGAAATTTCTAACCTGAAGTTATTAATTTTGGAATGTTTGGAATTTACAAAGTTATGAATTTTGGAATATTTGGAGTTTTCAAAGTTACGAATTCTGGAGAATTTGGAATACCAGAAGTTACTAATTTTGGAGAATTTGGAACACCGGAATATTTAAAATACCCAAAGCTATAAATATTTGGGTATTTATAACATTCAAAGCTATTAATTTCGATACGACCATACTTACAAGACGCACAAACTTCAAACCGCTTTAAAGAACCATTAAATACTTTCGTGACTTCTTCAAAGTCCCTGCAACACGTTTCACGCCATCCATTTCAATACAAATTATCAATCCCCTACTTCGCAAAAAACGCAGTCAGGTTCAAAATGACAGAGTGAAGAATTCCTACCGTCAGACTCACGGGTGACGACAGACAAGTAGACCTTGCCTTTCGAGTGAATTTCACAAAAAACCGCTTGCTTCAAGTGTACCTTAATAACCGAGAAGCAATAGAATTCCCCGTGAAAAGTCAAAAAGTCCATCGAGCTGTGCGTTTTTCCACACAAATTCCAACAACCGTGCAAAATGATTATAGTCGATCATTTGAGACAGAAAACAAGTCCGAGATCACCGGAATTACAATGTAACTAAAAGTCCCTGTTCGAATTTCATGCCGGCGCGACAACATTCCAGCAAAAAACTAATCAACCGACAGTTAAACGGTGTAATTTCAGTGTCTACTTGAAATAAGGGTAGCAATCATTGGATTTACCTCTTTTCACAAATCAGTTGCCAACTTCCGAAAGGAAGTCTATACTTTTCATCTCAAGCTACTCTGCGAATAAAAGTTGCAATATAATGTTTCCAAGAACACTTGAGAAATTTGCCGCTCGGAAATTTTCTGAATTCGAAATTTTCCACTGAAAAGAAATTCGTGGAAGTAAAAATGGGAAATAATCTGCTCAGAAACTCAACTTTTTCTAAATTTTCTTTTCACTCTTTACTTCAATTATTGCAAAAAAATGATAAACAAAGAGCGGAACGTAGTTTCTACTTTGCGAATTCTCTTGCAGAAAGGCGGTCGATTGATTCTAAATTAGCATGGAAGCTTCAATTCTGCTTTGAAAATAACGACGAACCTCAAATTTGGCACGATAATGATAATTATTTAATTTTATATATCAACGTTAATTCTTCGAAGGTTAGAAATTTGCGAAAAAATTACAAACGAAGGGAAAAAGGTGGAATCTGGAATATAAAAAAAAAATGGAATTTTTGAACTGGTCAAGGCAACCTGATTCCTTAAAAGGACGAAAAACCGAGCGCTTGCAGCAACAAGGTTGCGCAAAAGTCGCGTTCCAGCGCGGTCGATTTCTCGTTTCGACACCGCCCCGCTGCGTCGAGTCGATTAGACACGACGGAACGCGCTGTCTAAACACAGACATTAACCAGGACACGTCACTTTGGCTTCTCGAGTTTCGCGGCTCGGGTCGAAGAAAGTGTCACTGTACACGCTCTGACACCTTAATTGCGCGATTACGTCCACCAAACTCGTGTACACACCGCGTGATCCGTTCTAGTAATTACTCTCGTTGCGGATCGATTAGAGTCGATCCGGAAAGCGGGAATTTCAAAGATCTTTGCTCGATGATAATAATTAGAAAATCTCCGAGTATCGTTTTACGGTAAATAGAATATTGCGAACTTGCAAATTTGTTGTGAAATCTTTTAGGTTAGGTGTAAGACAAAATTACGGTCAATTGGTCGATCAATTGTATTAGAAACGTTACACTTCTTGGGGAATTTTTTAATCCACGATATGGTGATTTTGTTTTTGGTGTAACAGGGCAAAACAAATATTTCGATCACACTTTGTCTGTTTATGCGACAAGAAGGGTCCGTTTTTATAAATTTTATTTTAAAATAAAAAATTACTAAATTACAGGAGTAACTAAATTTCCATCAGAATGTATTCTTTAGAGTCACAGTAATTTTGCTTCTTCAAATATTCTTACGTCGACTAAAAAATTCTTACATAATCGTAATTTACCTAATTCACCTAACCTCAATAACAATCAGAAGAATTGCTCAGGTTTCACAGGGTTAAGTTTCCCCTTTCACGCCACATTCCCTAATTTCCCCAGATTTCCCCAAATTTCCAAAAGTTTCAATCCCAAAATCACTGAAATTTCTAATTCCCATATTTCCAAAAATCTCCGTCTAAAAGTACACAGAGTTTCCCCCACTCCTCCAACATCATATTGCTAAATACCATTCACCTCGCCTACAATCCAAAACACAGTCCCCAATCGACCATACGATTTTCCCTTAGAATCCTCTATTATCCATGCCCGCCGAGAAAAAGGAAGCTCCTCTCGAAAGAGACGAACGTACGAACGAGGAGAAAAAACCTGGTCGAACGAAACCCATGAAACTACCTTGAGCGGTGGGAGAAACGTACAGTAGTGGGGGTAGAGCGAGCAGAGAGAGGAAGGGAGGTAGTACGGGGGCCAGGGGTTCCAGACGTATTAATTAAACGACTCATTTTCATCGCACGACAAAAACGTGAGTTTAACGCCCATCGGCGACTAATGCGTCGCCCCACTGCAGCCAGTTCGTGGCTCGAGGAATCGGAGTAGCGAGGCTGGTTCTAACCAGCGAGTCTCTGCCTCGCTGAATCGTCCAATCCTGTCGAGGCTGGTATACGCCTAGCGTAGCTGTTCGCGACCGCGAGTACCGCCCAGCTCTGGTCGATTCTCGCCCCCCACCGCTCGTCGCAGTGGGAGCAGCGGTGGGGATGGGAAGCGGCTCGGTGCACCCCCCACCACCATCCAAGAGCGCCTCGTTTAGCCTGTAATTTGCTCAAACACTAGCAAGCTCTCGTGCCAGAAACATCCGTCAGAGAGCTGTGTGCCTGCTGGTAGTATCTCGAGCCTCTACCTAACGCTCTTTGGGCCAGTTCCGTCTGCTCGTTTTTCGGTGAAACGTGCGTTCTGTTATCGGTGGCAGCTCGATGGATAGGGTGTCTAAGTGCGTGTCGATCGAGTGAGCTAACTGGTCCTTGGTGACACTTGCGATATTAAAGGGGGATCGTCGCGAGATCCCCGTCAGTGACGATCTACATGTACTACGTATGATTCAGTGGTTTGTTACATTACACGAGAAGATTCACAGTGAAGTACATATACATACATATGACAAGGTTGACGATGTTAAACGTCAATAATCGTTCTGAAGATTAAAAAAACTTGTTCGCAAAATTGCAACGAAGTTTCCATTCACAGTTGGACAGTCTCGGGAGACTATACAGTGTGTGTAAATAGTGTTGGAAATAGAAGAAAAAGTTTCAAAGTGTTCGCGAATAGGAATCCGTGGCTCGACGTTCGCCAGGCGAGCGTTCTCGGTCTGTTGAAGGAGCCGGCGCCGCGGCGGCCGCAGGCATGCGGCGGACCTGACCTGGACGAGGTGAGTGGTGCCCGTCGTGCGTGCTGCACAAGTGGCCATTCCATCAGCCAGGCGTACGATAATCGTACGATGATGCCGCTCGCGCCGACGCCAATTGTACCGGTGCCGTCGAAGCCGAAGATCGGCTTCAGCATCGACTCGATCGTCGGCGGCGGTGGTCAGGGTCGCGAGGATCGTTTGGATCGATTGGAACGCGTGGAGATCGAGAGGGACGATGGTAGCCCGATGGACGTCGAGGGTTCCTCGTCGCCGCGTAGTAGACGCGTGACAACAAGATCGCCCGGTGCACACTCGGAGGGATCGGATCGTCCTGTGTCACGAAGTTCCTCCGTCGAATCCTATCCTAACTCGCGTAGAACACCCTCTCATCCTGGTAGCCATCATCATCATCACGGGAACCACCATGGTCATCATCATCATCTGTCCGCCACGACACACCTGGATTTTAGCCGAACCACCGTCCATAGCCACAGCGGAGGATCGACGCCTAATAACAGCCCTAGCCCGCCTCACAGGATATCTCACGGTGATTCTCCCGTCGGTGCACATCCTCAACCGCCTCCAGGAGTCGTCAGACCGAGTCCGAATTACCTTGCACCGCCGCCCGGCGCGGCAACCGCAGCGGCTGTCGCCGCGGAACAGTTGAAATCTTTGTACGGTTTGCCTGGACACGGTCCAACTGGACCGCAGACAGGACAGAACGAGTATCACACGCAGCAGTTAGCTTTGGCTGCGAATTTAGCAGCGGCACAACACTTTCAAGCGGCGAACCTTGCCGTTGCCCTTCAAGCACACCACGGTGCGTCGCCCCATGGACCTCCGCACGGGCCGTATCCACATGGCGGCGCACCAGGTGGACCTCATCCACCGCCGCATCCTCATCAACCGCCTAGAGACAGCTATCCGCTTTATCCTTGGCTACTGTCCAGGCACGGTAGGATCTTCCCTCACAGATTTCCTGGAGGTGAGTCTGTAAACGTTACGGTTTCAACCCTTTCACTTCAGTTTTCTACGTCTTTCGACTGTTCCGTCGACGTTGGCGACGTATTAAGTTTCTGTGGTTTAACCCTTTCACCGCTGACGGTCGTCTTTCTTCGAAACCTTGATTCCATCTTTCGCGCATTTTTGCGTTAATTTAATCAAACAAATTTGGAAATGAAGATTTCTGCGAACGTGATTGAATGTCTTTTATTTGTCACGCGCGTTACATGGGAGAATCTGCCGCAGTGGAAGGGTTAATCTACGTTTCTGTGGAATTTGTAGAGTATCTTCTTCGTCTAATGGAAGTCGCAATTTTAATAACTATCGTTGAAGTCGTAGGATTTGTGTTTTCATTCATAAGTTATTGGATTACTTGTTACTTTCGAGCACAGTGTTTATTTAGAGTTTCATCGAGTGGCGACACTACATTCTTTCGTAATTGAAATCTTCTGGCTGTCTATCATATTTTATCGCTTTCTTATTTTTCGATGCCATTTTCCTATATTATGTAGGATATTTTCTGTATTGCCATCTTTTAGCGACCCTGAATTTAGAAAAGAATTAAAATTACTGTATCGATAATAACATTCTCATAAGATCAGAATAATTATCAAATTCCGCCGCCCAAGTGCACCACAAATCTACTTTCCACCTAAACGTGTATCAGCAAGTGTCCACTAACTCAGTATCCAGAACAGAAAGCCTTAATACCCAAAATTCAGCTGAATCAGCGACGTTATCCAGGATTTGACGAAAAAAGTCCACTTCCGTCCTCGACGTACGTTTCTCCCCGTCACATTTGCAACAACAATAGCAGGGTGAAACATGTTTACATGACTTCGCGGAAATCGAGCCACGCCGTGGTATGGCAAAAACCCCGAGTAATGTTGGCTTTCGATTTCTGGCTCGCGTGACTTGAAACTGGCAGAGTTTGAAACCAGATAGGCTTGAATTTTTTCTCCACAGAGCACACAAGTGTCCTTATCA